ATACATTTATATTACTGCAGATTGGAATTTGATATTGCAAGTTTCATATGTACTTTTGAACTTGTTCTTAATGTTTTACCCAGAATTTTGTTTTTAAAAAACAGAAAGAAAACTTTGGTGGATTTTTCACTCTACTACAACTGACTGCACTGGAGAAGCAATTACTATAGAGATGCTACAGCTGCTTTCTTGATATTAGCCTATGGTTTTAAAATGTCTTTGATTTGTAAATATGTTAGGTACCACAGGTCCATCACAATGATATGCAGAAAGAAGAAAAGATTCTCCACTCAAAATCTTTATGTGCCTGAAAATCCTTTTAATTTCCTTTATTAGTTTGGTATGTCCTTAATTTTATATTACAAATACAGATTTCTTCCAGCTATTGGACATTGTCCCACTTCAAACTTTTAAAAACAAATTAATGAGCGTTTTATGGTAATTACTATGTAAATAGGACAAATATATCCCAGTTCTTTGGCAAGCAGCCTTGACAATGGAAACAGTTTCACATTGTGGATTTCAATCAATGTAACAAAGTTACTGAGCACAGTCTGAAAATGAATCAATTCTAGATTGCAGGAGGTTTTTAAAAGTTTCTTGCTTCTCACATTTTAATATAAAAATATTCCCAGGCTATTGTTAAAATGCAAACATCTTATTTGGGAGGCTCTATGTGAGATGCTGGACTTTTATTTCTAGTAAGGTCTCAAGTGATGTACATGCTGCTGGTCTGTGAACCACACTTTGAGTGGCAAGAACACAGTGCTGGTAAACTGGTTCTCCAAAAGAGGAAAACAAAACCCTGGCTTGTAATGTTTGCTAATTTCCATGATATAAATGCTCCCGGAATGACAACGTTCAAGCTACCAACATGATGTCATTGAAAATGGAGTTGGGAAGAGACATTCAGCACACTGCCCACAATTAGCTCTCCAGCCAGGTACAAGTCAGTTCCAGCACACCACTGACCTACATAAGCCTAAGCACACACACATTCAAGTCCAAGATTCCTTGCAGATTTCACTCTGCAAAGAATTTCAGGAGGTGAGGGAGAATATGAGTGTCATAGGAGAAAATGAGAACATTAATTACAAAGTTTTCAGAATATGTGCAATATAATCTAGTTCCAAGGCTATAGGTTGATGAGAGGGCATGTTTAAGAAGTTAAAAGACATGTGTGGCCAATAATGGAGACTTTGGGGGAAGATCTGAACCAGGTTTTGACTGTAATGGGTTTGGATGAGTGGGAAAGGAGAACACTCACAGAAAAGGAAGTGGGATACGCACTAGCAAAATGTCTGATGCTAAACAAGAGTGAAGGAAATCTTGGAATTGCTAAAGAGTTGAGAGTAGGGTCATTGGTCCCACAGAATAAGGGCATCCTATTTTCACAAATGTTTTATTCTCTGGCATGATGGAGGAATAACGTAGTCAGATTAATCAAACATTCAGGTTGACAGAGAGTTGACATACATACCAAAAAGAGATGCCAATGTTTAAAGTAATAAAATATATTGGAGTACACAGAACCGAATTTCTTTCTTCTTTGACGAAGAAAGGACTTTGAGATCTGCCATGTCTCAGAGCCATGGCTTTGAGCACCTTTGGTCCCTTCTGGTGGGGTTCTGTGACGGAGCCTGCAAAGTTTTGTTTGTATTGTCCTGTAAGAAGGGTATGTTCTCAAGCCTTTCTCCAGGGATATAGAATGAGTGCATCCTAAGAAACTGACTCTCTTGGAGAGAATTTCTAAGTGGGAGAAATGCTTTCCCTTACAGTGCATTGAGTGCTTAAGAGCCCAAACTCATTTCTGAATCTGAAACTGGGGTAATAATACCAATCTCATATGGTTTTGGTAATTATTAAATGGAACTTGGTCAAGAAATATTGGTGCTAAATATTTGAATGAGCACTACAAATTAGTGTGGGCCTTGTAGCCAAGCATACACCGTTATTAATTTTAAAATCAGAATTGCTTAACAACCACTGATTTTCTATAAGGCCATAAACCCCATGTGAACTGTGGATAGGATGAGGCTGCGGGGAGAAAGTATTGTCTGGTCTCTAAGCCTGTAGAGCTAAGGTTTCTGCATTCTGCACACATCTTTGAAAGAACCTATGACCACCTGTGCACAATGTTTAAATGCCTAGGAACCTTCCCTTGCTACCAAGGCAAAGGCATACCTAGACCCTCTGACAGTTCCCTCAGTCAGCAACTATATAAGAGAAACTTCTTACATTTCCAAAATCTGAATAGAGGTTTATTTTGAAGAAAAAAAAAAAACAAAAACCTTTTCCCTCCTGTCTCTTGGAATAAATGTAGTATTTCGTTTTCTTCATTTGTACTATGTTAAGAACCAGTAGAGGGAACTTAAGGTCAATCCGTCTCTCAGGTTGAGTAACTCTAAGCTATAAGCTCCAGAATCTTGTCTTTGTCTCTGATTCCAAATGGGCTTGTGGGGAAAAGTGATATAACCATGAGATCACTGTGTTCTTTTAGATGATTTCCTGTTTCCTGTGTATTTAAATACACAGGGAATAATCCCGCTATTAAAATGAGACCCTGTATGTGTGTATGGGCAGAAGTTCAATGAAAAAGGAAGAAAAATATGCTTGCTGAATACCAGATGTAGAATGCATAAATCCTGTCAGAACAAGTGGGGAATAGCTTTTATGGCTGACTTGCAAGAAACCTAAGGGAATTGGGAAATCAGATAGGCATGTGTCAAGCAGACTTATTTAAATCATCCACTTCCTCAGCAAAATAAAAGTTTGAGAGGGTTCTGCTTCCTTTTGTGGTTTGAAATTACAGTTGTAGGCCTCAGAAGTCCTGCTTGATTGAGGGCTTCCAAGCAGAGACGTTATATGACCCAGTTCAGGCGCCTGACAACACTGGGGGCACCCAATGCCTCTCCCTGAGGTCTCCAACCTTGCCTTGTTTGTACTTTGTGTCCTTTGTCATCTAAGAAGCAAATTGTGGTGCAGCTGACCACTGCTTCATGGCCCTCTAGCTTGTCCCTGATAGAAGGCTTTTGCATCTGAAAGAGAAAAATGCCCACTGGCTTCTTTCTTAGACCACTGCTGTAGATCCTGAGTGCAAGCCTTAGCTTTGCAGGCTTGGAGACCAGGCAGTGCTTTCTCCCTGCAGCCTCATTCTGTCCACAGGGTTTATGGCCTTATAGACAATCAGTCTATGTTAAGCAATTCTGACTTAAAAACTAATTGGCCGGGCATGGTGGCTTACGCCTATAATCCCAGAACTTTGGGAGGCCAAGGAGGGTGGATCACCTGAGGTCAGGAGTTCGAGACTAGCCTGACCAACGTGGTGAAAACCTGCCTCTACTAAAAATACAAAAATTAGCCAGGTGTAGTGGTGTGCGCCTGTAGTCCCAGCTACTTGGGAGGCTGAGGCAGGTAAATCACTTGAACCTGGGAGGCAGAGATTGCAGTGAGCTGAGATCATGCCACTGCATTCCAGCCTGGGTGACAGAGCGAGACTATGTCTCAAACACAAAAACAAAACGACAACCAAAAAAAAACCTAGTAATCTGTGTATGCTTGGCTACAAGGCACACATGAATTTGTAGTGAGAGATAAAACTAGATCCCAATCATTTCCAGGTATGAAATTCTAACAGGTAGGTTTTTCAGGAGGCTACCTTATAGTTCAGTAGGTTACTGGTGTGTATAGATACAAAGCAAAGGTATTTAAGTACAAACCATTTCCTTTAAGGTGTGGTAGCTCCCTAAATTGTTCTTCTCAGGATATTTCTGTTTTCAAGTGTCCCATTAAATATATTATTTTTATATGCAGTAGAATTTTTTAAAAGTATGCTGACACAGAAAGATCATGGGCTTTGCAGACCCAGGTTTAAATCATTACAAATCTATCACTTGCTAATGTGTGAACTTCAGCACATTACTGTCACTCTCTCAGACTCATTTCCTTATCTTCTTGCTGAGAATGTGCATGTAAAAAGTGTTAATGTGGAATCTAGCATGATGTCTAGCACTTTGTTAAACCCTGACAAATTCTTATTCCTCTCCATTTATCTGTCCATCTGTATTAGTTCGTTTTCACGCTACTGATAAAGACATACCCCAAAACTGGGAACAAAAAGAGGTTTAATTAAACTTACGGTTCGGACATGGCTGGGGAGGCCTCAGAATTATGGCAAGGGACAAAAGGCACTTTTTTTTTTTTTTTCGAGCTGGAGTCTCACTCTGTCACCCAGTCGGGAGTGTAGTGGCACAATCTCAGCTCACTGCAACCTCCGCCTCCCAGGTTCAAGCAATTCTCCTGCCTCAGCCTCCCAAGTATCTGGTATTACAAGTGCTGGCCACTATGCCTGGCTAATTTTTGTGTTTTCAGTAGAGGTGGGGTTTCACCATGTTGGCCAGGCTGATCTGACACTCCTGACCTCAGGAGGCCTTGGCCTCCTAAAATGCTGGGGTTACAGGCATGAGTCACTGTGCCTGGCCCAAAAGGCATGTTTTTTTGTGTGAGACAAAGTCTCCCTCTGTCACCTAGGCTGGAGCACAGTGATGCAGTCTCCACTCACTGCAATCTCTGCCTTCTGGGTTCAAGTGATTCTCCTGCCTCAGCCTTGTGAGTAGCTGGGATACAGGTGCCCACCATCACACCCAGCTAATTTTTTGTATTTTAGTAGAGACAAGGTTTCACCATGTTGCCCAAGGTGGTCTTGAAATCCTGAGCTCAGGCAATCTGCCCATCTCAGCCTCCCAAAGTGCTGGGATTACAGGCACGCACAACTGCGTCCAGCCCCAAAAGGCACTTACATGGCAGCAGCAAGAGAAAAATTAGGAAGAAGCAAAAGCAGAAACTCCTGATAAGCCCATCTGATCTCATGAGACTTATTCATGACCACGAGAACAGTATAGGGGAAACTGCCCCCATGATTCAGTTATCTCCCACCAGGTCCCTCCCACAACATGTGGGAATTATGGGAGTACAATTCAAGAGATTTGGGTGGAGACACAGAGCCAAACCATATCATTATCCATCCACCCATTCATTTATTCCTTCACTAAACGCCTGTTGAACACCTTTTATGTGCCAACCACTATGTTGGTTAGTGGAGGCACAGAAAAGTATGAGAGGTGAGCTCAGTTGATGGTATTTAGGTGGGTCTATATCTGGGCTCTCTATGCTTCTCCATTGATCTATTTGTCTATTTTTTTTTCCTTTTTTGCCAAAGACTTCCTTAATCTTTAACAATGTAATTCTAGTAAGAGAAAAAGAAGCTTCAGAAGTAATACTACCAAATCATGGGGCGGGATTGTGGGGGTGGTGAGTGAACTCAGGAAAAAGACAAAGAGAAAGAGAGAGAGAGAATGAAGGCCATATAAGATAAAGTGTTGAATGTTACATGCTCTGTTGACTGTGGGCCCCAGGATGTATATGATGGAATTTACTGAAAGGGAATTTGCACATTTATAAAAAGGATGCAGTTCTAGAAAATAGCTAGTTATGCTAGCATCTTGTTTCTTTATCGATGCTGCAGTGTTATATAAGCACTGAATCCTCCCACATTTCCAGCTCTTATCTAAAAACCAGAGTGTGTACCACCTGGGTTAAGAGGAAGATGAAATGAAATTGGGGAAATAAATGGTGGAAAGCATCCTGAAAGAAACCAACTAGATATGTTCAAGTCAGCAGGTTCTGAATTATTTAGTAATTTGAGAAATGTGTAAGGGATGTTCTGACATGTTTTTTTCTCTCATTTTCTCCCTGTTCTGCCAGGCCTATAGCGAATCTACCACCTTTGTTGGCCTCTTCTTCTTCCCCCACTTATTACTATGGATGCTACCTGAGCTCATTGTCCCTGGAGATGGACCAAATAGAAGAACAAGCAGTGTCTTTGTGGTGAGCTTCAAGAGGTATCTGTTCTCTGGGGAAAGGGTGGGTGATAAAGCAAAGGTGGCAGATGTGTATATTAGCTATCCATTGCTGTATGATTAATTGTACACAAAACTAAACTATACATAAACTAAAACTTCACAGCTTACAATAGCAAATATTTATTATCTTACACAGTTTTTGAGAATCAGGAATCTGAAAATGGCTTAGCTAGTTTGGTTCTGGCTCAGGGTCCTCTGTGGAGTGACAGCCAAGATATCATCTGGGACTACTATCATTTAAAGGCTCAGTTGGGGCTGGAGGCTGAGCTTCCAAGATGGCTCACTTATAGGACTATTGGTGGGAGGCTTCAGTTCTTCTCCACATGGAACTTTCCTCATACCATGGAACTGACTTCCCTCATACCATGGAACTGACTTCCCTCAGAGTGAAAGACCCAGGAGAGAGAGACTAAAACAGAAGGTGCATTTTTTTTTATGACCTAGTCTTGGAGGTGACATACTGTCATTTCTACCATATTTTATTCATTAGAAGCAAGTCATTAAGTCAAGCCCACACTCAAGGTGAGAGGATTTAAGCTGAACTTTTTAAAACATGGTATCAAAGTGTTTATGGACATTTAAAAAATTACCACAATACATATAGATAAACTTCACAAGATGTAGACATGGGCTGAGACAGAATATTGGATAATATCTCAATCTTCAAACAGCAGCCTCAGCTGTAATAAAACCTGAGTTCAGAAATCAAGTAGGAAAAGGGCTTGTTGGAGAAAACTTATCAAGGATGTTACTTCATTAATCCATTTATTCTGAGTCACAGCATAATATGCTGTGGTCCAAATTATACAGGACCAACTATGTGTCCTGTGTAAGTTGGGTACCTCTGCTCAGTAACAGCTAAACAGATTTTATCCAATTTTTAGAATAGTTAATATGTTCACGTGGCACAAAATTTAAAAGGTATGAAAGTTTTTGGTTAAAAAAAGAGATTCACTCCTTTTCTTTTTTTCAGATTCTTGGAATGCAATTACATTTACTAATTTCTCATGTATTCTATGTATATACAAACTTATATGCACACATATTTTTTCTTTCCCACAAATAATATAAAATACTATATGCGTTGTTTTATTCTTGACTTTTTTTCAATAAACAGTATATCTTCAAGGACTTCTACAATAGCACATACAGACCTGCTTTGTTTTTTTCATGGCTGCCTAGTACTGCATTATATTTATTTGAGCAGTCATCTATTAACAGATGACATTAGGTTGTTTCCAGTCTCTTGCTACTATGGACAAAGATGCAATGACTATCTCTGCAATTTATCATTTCTCACACAGGAGTAGAATTCTTGTTTATTTGCAACATTGACAGATACTGACGAACTTCTTCCCAAAAGGGCTTACCATTTTTCTCTCACTACAATATGAATGCCTTTTTCTTCAAACCCTTGGCAATACAGTAGGTTACCTGCTTTTTCATATTTGCCAATTCTGTAGGCACAAAATGGTCTTCAATTGTATTTTTAATTTTTATTACTCTTATTATGAATGAGGTTGGGCCTCTTTTTATATGCTTAAAATAATCTGCGATTGCTTTACTATGAACTATTTGTTCTTAATCTTTACCCACATTTATATTGAGTTGGTGGGGTTTTTTTTTTCCTTATTGATTAGTAGGAGTTCTTTAGGATTAAAGAAATTAGCTCTTCTTAAGAACGGGTATACATGGACAGACAGAGTGGAATAACAGACATTGGAGATTCTGAAAGGTGGAGGTAAAATACTGCTTACTGGTTATATTGTATGCTATATGGATGATGGGTATGCTAAAACCCTAGATGTCACCCCTATGCAATATATCTATGTAAGAAAACTGCCCTTGTGCCCCAAAATCTATTTCCTTTTAAAAGAAATTAGTTCTTTGTCTAGAATGTGAGTGGCACTTATTTTTTCCAGTGTGTTTTTTTCCATTTGTTTTCTTTTGACTTTTTAGTGTGTTTTTTTTTTCTTTTTTCATGTAGTAATTTTAAAAAATATTTTTCCGTGGCCACATTTATCAGTTTTTTTCTCTTATAGTTTCTGGATTTGCATCATTCTTAGGAAGTTTTTCCACTCCCAGGGTTATTAAGAATCTTTCTAAGGGTTCTTTTAGCATCATCATAATTTGATTTTTACATTTCAAATTTGATTGAATTGGTTCTTTTAATGCCTTACACTCTACCAAAGTATAAGATACTGCACTGTGTTTGTGTTTGTTTTGTTTCTGGTTCAGCTATTTCTAGTTTATTCTCAGTTTTCTTCATTTGTGAAAAAGAGATCATAAGTATTACTGAGTACCATCCATAAGTTTTAGTGGAGAGATACCATTTTGATGACTGAAAGCCAAACCAGAATGCTCTTCCCCATTTTCATTACTTAGAAACTTTTGCTGATTAGGTTTGGTGCCCTAATGGGACAATTGAGACTAACACAGTCTATAAGATAACTTGCTTTAATTTAAAAAGGCAAAATCAAATTAGCCATTTCATATTATCTGCCTACATAGGGGCTACTGCTTTCATTTGTAATGTTTAATTACATATTTTTTTCAAGAATACATACACATGGCTGTCACTTCTGAAATAATTTTGGCTCCCTGTGAAGCAGAATTGGAAAGTGTCTCAAAGTTAGTTTTGAATGGGTTATTTGGAACTCAAAATGATACTCCATTAAAACAATACCTTAAATGTTGGTTAGGTTCTTGAGCCTAATTATAAATTCCAGATTTATGTATTTATGATTCAGAATAGGAAGAATGGTGCTATGTCAATGACATGTAACAATATATCATAACACTGTGTCCTTGTTAATATGCATTGGAGGGACTCATTAGGAATCCCCAAATACATCTTCCCCAGCCCTTTGCCTGCATCCTAGCAACAGATGTGAGAACTCCCAAGAGCCATTGGGAACTAGGTGCAGGGCCAGAAAGGACACTCTGGTCAGGAGAATACCTCTTTATATTTGTACCAGGGAAAGCTATTTTCTAATATTTGACAGTTGTCCTGAGAAATTAGGTCTGTGGTGTAGAATTTCAGAAGCATATCATATATTTTCTTGGCAAATAATATGGTTTGGCTGTGTCCCCACCCAAATCTCATCTTGAATTGTAGCTCCCACAATTCTCACGTATTGTGGGAGAAACCTGGTGGGAGATAATTGAACAATGGGGATGGGTCTTTCCTGTGCTGCTCTCATGATAGTGAATAAGTCTCACAAGATCTGATGGTTTTTTTTGTTGTTGTTTTTTTGTTGCCCAGGCTGGAGTGCAGTAGCACAATCTCAACTCACTGCAACCTCTGCCTCCCAAGTTCAAGTGATTCCCTTCCCTCAGCCTCTGAAGTAACTAGGAATACAGGTGTGTGCCACCATGCCCGGTTAATTTTTGTATTTTTAGTAGAGACAGAGTTTTGCTATTTGGTCAGGCTGGTCTTGAACTCCTGTCCTCAGGTAAGCCACCCACCTCGGCCTCCCAAAGTGCTGGGATTACAGGTGTGAGCCACTGCACCCGGCCCAGTTTACGGTTTTATAAGGGGAAGTTCCCTGCACACACTGTCTCTTGCCTGCTGCCATGTAAGACACCCCTTGCCCTTCTGCCATGATTGTGAGGCCTCCCCAGCCATGTGGAACTGTGAGTCGATTAAATTTCTCTCCTTTATAAATTACCCAGTCTTGGGTATGTCTTTATTAGCAGTGTGAGAATAGACTAATACAGCAAGCAATTAGCTTTAGGGAGTGTGCAAGTATGAAATAGGGTCTTAGCCACCAAAGGTGGGTTTTAAGGGAAGGAGAGTCCTGGGGAAGAGAAGGCAGGAGGCAGTTCCCCAAGACAGGGACTCAGTCATACACAGAAAGAAGATAGCAATGTAGGTGTCTGGAAACAAGGTGGGAATTGAGGCTCAAGAATAAGAAAAAATCTGGGTATCAGGACTGAAGTCTAAGACTACCTAGAAGAGTGAAATGATGCTGAGCCCCACACTGACGGTTTGGAGGTAATTAATCTCCAATGTTTAAGGGAGGGACCTGGGAACTGGGCCAAAGCATGGGTGACAGGTGGGAATGAAGTGGGTCTGACTGTGGGGCAAGGAGAGGGCAGTGGCTTATGATGGGGCAGGGAGGATGTTTACCACCACTGAGAAAGTGGATGCCCATTATTTGGCGAACTCCTTATACTACTGTATTTTGTGTATAGCATAAAATATATATATATATATATATATATATATATATATATATATATATTTGTTTCAGGATTATTTAATGGTTTTGCCCATGTGGAAAAAGGCATATTCTTATTCTATTTCTCAATGACATTTATGAGTGCTATAATTATAATAACAATGGTGAAAACTTTCCTAATCAATATATAAATGGTATTTACAGTGAGCCAAATCTATTAGAAAGCCAGCCAGTCTAAAAAAGAATAAAGTTCCCATGTTGCAAATACAAATTATAATAGGTTGGAATAAAAATCAAATTATATTTTGCTCTGTGATGCATTGTGCGTGCTGTCTATGTTCTTTGCATCTCCTTCCATCTGTTTTCCCGCTGTTTCCCTGCTCATTAGCACCTCTACTAGAAAGTGGGCAGGGTGATGACAAGAAATAAAAATACAAGTTGAACTGCAACTAAGAATTTAACATTTAAAAAATGCCAACATAAGAATGATATAAATATCTCAATTGTGAAAATAGATTGCGACCCTGTTAGTATATGGTATTTTAAATATGTGAAAAATGACGAGGAATTGGAGCATATCCCATACAAAAGAACAAGTTCACAGAATGTTATCAAGGGAAAGGACTGCAGAGATAGACTGCAAGAGCATCTGTTCCTACAGGTGGGAACTGAGAAAAATTCATTAAAAAAAAAAAAAACGAATTAGCAAGTACGCAGAAACTCGTAAGACCTAACCATGTTTCTGGAAGCTAACTGCAAAGTTTGGCCTAAACATGGACATGCTGAGGTCACTTG